GGGGGGTTCGTCTCTGTTCTGGCGGGTTTGTTCCCGCGGGGTCACCCTCCAGGATCCTCGGTCTTGCCCGCAGACCCAGTAGAGAAAGCTGGGTGGTGGTTGCCGTTTCAGAAGCCCCTCGGGGGTGTTGCCTGCTGGCTGGACTGGGCCAGCTGCCCTCCGCGGAGACCCCAGCTGCCCCCGGCCGAACAGGTGGAGCAGCGCCCACGCTCCAGGGGAAACGCGAAGCCTGCGGTGGAGGAGCCCCTCGCACGGGACGCAGCCAGGGGAGGGCTGGGGGCACCGCCGGAAGTGAGGGCCCCCAGGGCTGAGAGGGCTGCAGGTTAGGGGCCGAAGGAACTCGGCCTTATCCCCAGGGGCGTGGGGCCCTTTTGTTGAGCATAGGATCCCATTTGTTAGTCCTGCACTGACAAGTGCTGTCAAAGGGTCTGAGCCCTGCAGGGGGCGCTCCTGGCCTTTCCAGCAGAGGCGGCAACAGCAGGGGATCTCTGGAAAGATGGGGTCGGGAGTGAAGAAACTTGGGCCAGTCTGGGAGCTGTTCAGGACCCCAGTGTGAGTGGACGTCCGGAGCACCATCCGCCGCTCCAGACGGGTCAACCTGGGAGGACCACGGGCCCACGCTCAGGTCAACACTCTGCTGTTGCTGCCTTGAAATATTTGGTAATTTATGGACGAGGGGCCTGGCGTTTTCATTGTGCGTTGGGCCCTGCAGATTATGCACCCCGTCCTAGGCCATGGTGGGACACAGGAAGGGGAGCTGGCTGGGGAGGCCCAGCGTGAATTTGTCGGACTCAGCCCGAGGGCAAGCGTAGATACACCCTGTGCACAGAGGGGTCAGGGAGAGGGAGGTGGGTGGTGGGTTGGCTCTGAGCTGTAGTGTGTGGGGTGTCTGTACCTGGCCAGCTTGCCTTCAGACCGCATCTCTATACTTGCTTTCATCACCAGAGGACAGCCCTGCTGCTTTAGCCAGAAATTGAGTAGGTCCTTCCTGGTACCTCCCTTGTCCCCATTGATCCCAAGAATCCTAAGATGACTCCGTTCCCAGATGACACCCTGTTTCCTAAGCAGAGGAAAGACCTGGAGTGTACCGGCCACCAAGGGGCCTGCCGAGTGCAGCTGCTGTGTTTGCCTTCTGACCCCACACCCAGGGGATGATGTACCTTTACCCCAGGAAGACTTCCTCTGCACTGCACAGCCATCCTCAGGGACTCCTGGGGGCTTCCCGGCACAAACTATGGTGAGCTCCAGGTTGTAAATGTCCATCCTCCTCCTCTGACCTGTCCTCAGCTGAGAGGGACCTGCTTTCACCGAGAGGCACTGTCTGGTTCCATGAATGGGTGGTGATGGTCCCCACATGGCCCACTGGGCGCTGCCTCAGACATCTCTAGGGAGAATCAGGTCCCTATAGAGGGAACTGAATTTAAAATGATCTCTATTGTCCCATCGTGACCCAGTTCAGCCACACAGAATTCCCTGTGCCCCATCAGTTATCATTTTAATCCACAAGATAGGGCCAAAGTAGCCCAGAGAATGTCCCTGACAGCAGCATTAAGGCTCTCGGGCCAGAGATGAAGACCGAGCAGAGGATTCCATTTGTTGGTCCTGCACTGACAAGTGCTGTCAAAGGGTCTGAGGCCTGCAGGGACCCAGCCTCCACTCAACCATGTGGACCATCCCAGCATGTACTGCTGTCCCTGCTCCAAGTCTGGGCAACACAGCTGTCAGACTTTCCTGCCACCGAGAGGAGGCATCCTCATCTCTTTATCATGAAGGGGGAACACATGGCCTGGGGTCTCCACAGAGAGCTCCCAGCAGGCACAGGGACTTCAGGAAGGCCCTGGATTCCTGAGCCATTCTTCCCTCGTTCACCCTGTCCCTGCCCCTGGGGAACAATGGGGGGAGGGGTATTGAGGTTGGGCAGGCCAGGGCTCCACCTGCCCCCCCACCCCCTTGCCTTCTCTGGCCCTGGAGTCTCCCAGGGGCCTCTACCAGCTGGCCCTCACCCACAATAGATCTTCACCTCCACAGGATTGGTCCTGTCCTAAGCAGACCATGTCTCCCACAGCCACCAAAGGAAGTACATTTTCTCCCAGGCCCCCTGGGGCCCCACTCTGGATGTGTTCCTTGTGGACAGTTTATATCCCAGCAGGACACCCCTGCAGCTCCACCCTGCAAGACCCCACCCTCGTCTCCAAGGCAAGAGGGGCCCTTCAACTCTCACACACCAGCTGAGGCCCTGGAAACAGTTTGACAACTCTTCCCAGGAAGCTCTGGGAATGTCCACAACTCTGTCCCATGAGGCTCCTGGGTTTGATTGCTGTTGTTTCAGAGTTTTTATTTATTTTTAGTTCAAATTTATCAGATTCAAATTCAGTAAAAAAGTTTTGATGAACACAAAAGGTTAAAATTAGGGGTTTAGATGACAATCACATGAGCCTCAGTAGCCAATTTACATGTGCAATTTCTTATTGGTTGTATAGTGTTGAGATTTTCTTGATATGATGTTTAATTTTGGAGATTTCATCCTTCTCTGACCCAGACATAACTTGGGTTCTTATCATTGCCGACCTGGCCAGATGAGATTCTGGCACAACCTTTTCCTCTGTGTTTGATGAGAAAAGGAGTAGCTTCTTAAAAGAGTGTGAAAAATAAACATCATTCAAGCAAGTTGGCAGGAGGCAAAGCAGGGAGGTTTGGGCATAGGCTGGACATGGGGTAGAGCCTAGGCTGAGGCCAGCAACCTCAAGAACAAAGCCCAGTGCCCCCAGGCTCTCTTGAAGACCCCCTCACCCCAACCCCCGCATTGAACATGCAGTCCCTGGAGACCTTTCACACAGTGAAGACTGCCCCTGAAATTTTCCCCTCTGAGGGGCTGGGGATAGACACTGGGGAGGAAATGCTGAGTCACATGGGCCCCACAGCTCCTTCCACACAAAACTCTACTGGGGGCCTGTTAAATATCCCAAGTGACAGGTCTCCCAGATCTGGGATGGGGCCGTGTCTGGCTGGTGACTCTTTTAACAAGAACTCAGGTTATTCTCATCCTCAGGAGGTTAGGAAGCATTGGGTTGGTAAGGCAGAACTGTCTGCCTATATCAGTGGTCGGCAAACTGCGGCCCCTTGAGTGTGGCTCTTCCACAAAATACCATGTGCGGGCGCGCACGTACAGTGCGATTGAAACTTCGTGGCCATACTCAAAGGGCCAAAGAGCCGCATGTGGCTCGCGAGCTGCAGTTTGCCGACCACTGGCCTATATGGTCCTTACAGAGGAATTGTGCCCGCCCTCTCACTTGATTAGACTTTGTGCAAGGCATTGGATAGGGAAGAAGACCTCACCATCTTGAGGACCCCTGAGCAGGGACATCACATTTTATATAGTCTTATAATTACCTTTTTACCAGTACTGTTTTTTTTCATGTGAACTGAAATTACCATCTGAAATCACTTGTTTTCAGCCTGAAGAACTTTAGTATTTCTGATAATGTAGGTCAAATCCAATCTTTTTACCTGAGGATGTATTATGCCTCCACTTTTGAAAGATAGCTTTGCTGGATATACAAGTCTTAGTTGAGGTGTTTTTTTTCTTTGAGTTCTTTGAGTATGTTATCCCCCTGCCTTCTGGCTTCCATTATTGCTGGTAAGAATTCAGCTGTCGATTTACTGGAGTTCTCTTGCAAGTGATAAGTTGTTTCTCTCT